GGGCAGGCAGCAGCCTCCCAGGGCTCACCGGCTGTGCTCAACCCACATCAGCACAGTGTGGTTTCTCCTGGACTTGCACTGCTTCATGTCTGCAGTTTTATTTGGAGGGGAGGGGAAAAGGCAAGGGGAAAAGAGCTTTTGCAGTTATGAAAACAAGCTTGAAACCAAAAGGATCCAAACCAAAAGGCAAATCACACTGCAAAGCTTGACACTCACTCAACTCAAGCCATCCGACAGCCCAAAGAGCTCCAACTCAGACTTTTCTGTGTGCCTCAGGCTGACGACAGATTTTTACATGTTTTTGAAGCCCCTGGTTTTGGCCTCACAACCCCTAGCGTCATCCCAGCGCACCCCGACTGCCCTGCTCCATCAGCACCCATTTGGGAGAGGTCTCCATGACACGGAGCGTGCAGGACTGCGCCGGTGCCACCGTGCATGGCCCATGGCAGTGTGCACAAAGCTGGTGGATCAACCATCACCAAACTTGCTCCGTGCCAGATGCCTCCTTAGTCTGCCCTGGAGGGTGAGGCCCTGTTTTCTGGGACTAAAGATGAGGAGAAAAGGGAATTTGCTTCATCTGCAAACTATAAATCCTCTCCATCTTCCTGAGCCCAGCATAGATGGAAACTGATGTGTGGCAGTGTTTGCCCAAGGTCCCAGCTCTTTTGAAGATGCCAAAATACCTATTTAAGTGTAAAAGCGGGAGAGCTGGAGAGAAGTAAGCTGCAGGGGATTGAAGGAGGGCAACCACAGAAAGATTTGGGTTGGAAGGAACCTTCAAAGATCTTCTAATCCAACCTCCTTGACATCAGAAGGGACATCTTTCACTAAATCAGGTTGCTCAAAGTCCTGTCCAACCTGACCTTGAGAGCTTCCAATGACGGGGCATCCGATGCTTTTAAATGAAACAAAATTAATACCATCTGCTTGGAAAAAAACATTACTTTGCTTAGGAGATTTTTTTTGCTCAGCAAGTACAGAGGACAGCATGCTGTTGGACAGAGTCTGCTGAGGAACAGAGAAGGGAGGCAGGTAGCACCAAACACATGAACATAGAGGAAGGAGCCAAATATAAGAAGTGGACTGTCAGGACCCATAGCTGGATGATATCTCATTCATCTCAGGACCCATCTTCTCCCAGCACAACGAGAAGATGCTCTCAAACTTCAGACATATCCAGCTCCACCCAAGGATCACTCTTGGCCCCAGTTCCATTCTTTTAGAGCCACTGGTCAAATATCTGGACATCTAATTTTGATTTCCAGCCTAACTCATTACCAGCTACAATTCCTCCCCATGCATACTTGTTTATCTTGTAGAAAACCATCTTCCCCAAGCTTGAACAGCTCTCATCCCTCCATGGGCACCTGCATGTCCCAGGGAGCATGGTGCTCACGTCTCCCAGGATCAGGTTAATCCCCCGTGAACTGTCACAGTGGGGAACACTAGCACTAAACCATCCAGAAACCCAGCCCAAACCACAGCTCATGGAAGTCTGGTCGGGTGTTTGCAGGACCTATAAAAACACAGCTGTGCCCACCTCTTTGGCTGGCTGCACAGCAGAGACCCATGCAGGATGTTAATCAGAGCTGTGGTCTTATTTATTATTGTTATTATTACGGCTACTACTACTACTGCAGTTATACCTGGGGACCCCCCAAACAGATCCCTGCGACAGCAAGACAGGGTCTCTGCTTTGATGAGTTAATAAATCTAGTTTGAAACAAGTTGCAGCAAGTCAGCATGGCAAATAGCGAGGAGTCGGGCTGGCAGCACTATAAAAATTGCTCACTTCGCTGGTCTAAACCTCACACGCCTTGAGTGCTTCAAGTCACATTAAAATGCTGCTTGCTTATAAACTGTTGGCTGTTGCAATTTCACTTTTTTTCAGTCATTTAACCACTTTAACTTCTTCTCAAGTTCCACTGAGTAGCTTTTAATCAGTACCTCCCGACTGATTTTTGTGTGGATGTTGGGGAGAAAAAAACAACAAAAAAACCCCAAAACAACAAAACAACAACAACAAAAAAAAAAACAACAACAAAAAAAAAAACAAAGTCAAGGTGAGACCAAAGAAATGTCTCAGTGTGAGGGAGATGGGGGTACAGCCAATCATCCCCCGTTCACACAGCACTTGCTCCACAGCCTGTCACGCCAGTGTCTTTCCCCTGTGCTTTCAACATGATCAAGAAATAAAACCACAAACGTGATCAGCCAATCAGACCTGCGACGTGTGAGCGACATGCCTACAAAATAATCATAAAGAAACGCGAGGCCATAGAATGCATTTTTTTAAAAGCAAGGAGCTGAAGAAATTACCAGGAATGGAATTTACTGGTCTCCCAGGGAGATTCCTGATACCATGCCTGCAGCCCCTGGCGTTGGGGAACCAACTGCAGTGACGTGGCTGGGGCAGGGCAGGCTGCGACACCCACGGCCGCTTTCTGCCCCACGGCAGCCCTGGGACAGCCCTTCCCAGGAGCAGCATCGCTGCTCGCACTCGTCTCCGGCAGAAGGATGCTGCGGTGCGTGCTACCCACGCACTGGGTGAAAAGCCCACGTGCCTCCAGCACGGCAGCTCTGGTGGGGCAGGAGGGATGGAAGCACACCAGGGTGTGTGCAAGGGGATGCGGCAGCTCCCCTGCCTACAGACTCACAGCGAACCAGACGGGAAAGACCTGTGACCAACGGAGAACAAATTTAAGCAAAATGACTCTCTGTGCCCCTTTATGCAGGGAACCGGTGGGGTATGGAGCCGTCTCCCAGGCTGAATTATTGCTGCAAAAACAATAGAGGTCATTGAAAAAACAATTAGGGAGCCTGGAGGAGAGATGGGAGACATAGAAAGTGAATGAAGCACGTTGGGCTAAATATTTTCTCACTGTCTCCTTCTTGCCTGCCAGATCCCAGAAGCCTCATGTTCTCAGGGTTATATATGGCCAGGCTAATGGCTTTGCACCATCTGTTGACACCAACCAGCAGCATGTCACCTTCTGAAAGTGGATTAGCTTAAGCTGCAGGCACGCTGTCACATCACTAAGCCAGTCCCTGACCAGGTCTTGGCCAATCTTTAGCTCTTCCAGGCCTGTCAGATAATGATGGGATCTCCAAAAGCCCAGCATCAGACAAGGCAAGGGATTGGCACTGAAAAAGTTCCCCTGTGAGCTCCTGATGTCTCCCAGTTTCTAACAGACTTGGCACTGCTCAGCTGCTTGTGGGACCGGGTAGTCAGGGTTGCATGAGAAATGTTTGCATGCCTCATCTCCCCTTCACAGCCTGCAGTGCCTGCTCTGCTCTTAGGGAAAGCCTCTTCCCCAAATGACAAGAAACAAATAATTTTTAAGAATGTGACAGTGTTCCTGAGTCACATATAATCGGATCTACAAACCCTAAAGCACTGACAATTAAGGCATACTGACATTTTTCACCAAAAAAAAAATGATGACTGATCAACAAGAGACTTCCTAGAAAAAAAGTGTCATTTTCCATTTTTATTTTAAATTTTAAAAGAATTAGAAAAATAAGAATTTCCAATTGACTTGAAAGTGACATTTTCATTGCACTTCAGAAATTGATTATTTTTTACTTTTTTAATTCCAAATGTCTTTCTCTTCCTCTTACTCGCTAATGTTTTGTTACTGAAGGCAACAGAACAGGTGCATACGACTTCGCTTTTCCCCTCCAACACATTTTCTTTTTTCGTTCTGAATTCTCCAAAGTTAGAGCAGCAGAGAAAAAAAAAAAAAAAAAAAAAGAAACGAAACACTCATCAGGCTTTTCCAACTTTCCTACAAAATGTCCTTAACTTTAGAAAAATCACTCAAGTGCAAGATTCAATATGCTGCTTTGTTTTTCTTTCTCCTTTCCATTATTCTGTAGTCTTCCTGAAAATGCATATGCTTTCAAAAGATATAGTAGAAAAAGGAAAAAAAGATACAGATGACATTTATCTTATTGCACTCTACACAAAAAAGGGAAAAGTAGTGATGGAACAAAGTAGATCTTCCAAAAACAAAAGTCAAAAGCTGGTTTGGCAATTTTCTTTAATACAACTGAGTTTTTATTTGGGGGGAAGGTGGAGAGGAGGAAGGGGAAGAGTTTTCCACCCATTTCTAACCAGAGTAAATCACCAGAAACAGAAAAGCCACTACTCTGCCAAAACAGCTATCACTCCCTCCTAAACTCCTTGACTTCCACCTTGTTTCTGCTGCAGTAAGGTTCCATCACACACTCTCCACTGTCAGCTAGGGGCATCCTGGGTGCTCCAACTGGCAGGTTTCCATTTGCAAACCCCAGAGGCGCTCCCAGCTGTGTGATCCTGCTGCTGGGAACTCCCTCCCTCCATGCATCCACAAGTCAGGAACCAACTCCCACACTCCACAGAGGCTATTGCAATGGTCATGTAAATATCCTCAGAATTGTATCATTAAATTATTTCATATTCAAGAGTGTTCCATAGTAGAGGGGAAAGAACAAAAGTAGAACTGAATGAAACCAGCAGGCTGGAGAAGAAGCACTCCTAAACCTGTTCTGCCAAACTTATGCCCTACCACCCTAATTATACCCGTACTCCCACAGCTCAGTCCCATGTGTGTAAAATCCCACTGTGCTGGGATGAAAGAACCAATAGTGAAATGGGTTGTTCAAGCTCCAGCTCCTTGGATCAACACATTCCAGCAGAGACTAAACAAGCAAAACCCCTTGAAACGTACCAGTCTTGGACATAAGACATCTGTTTCCAATCAAAACCAAGAAAGATCTGTCCCCGTGTCCTTCCCCAGTCCTGTACCTCTCAGGAGGGTAGCTAGCCAGCCCGAGGGTAAGAGATACTTTCACATTCTTACTGATTTAAATGATCTGAAACAAGGAGGCTCCCACAAACTCATCAACAAAGAGCAAGGCAAGAACAGCCTGTGTTTGCAGTCAATCCCTCTGAATTAGACAGTTGTGGTTCCTTCCTAAAAAAAAAAAAAAAAAAAAAAAAAAAGATAAGAACTTACCATCACCTCCCGGTTGCTTGTATGGGTTGTACTTTGGCTTGGGGGCAACAACAGGCGCAAACTTCTTTGGCGCCTGCTGGGTGGACACCGAGATGCTGGGAGTCCCAAAGGTGTGTGTGGTCTCCATCCTTGCAGTAATGTGACCAACCGGCTCGTTGGTACTCTTGGGTGGCAGCCAGGATGGGTGTGACATGGTTCAGATCTGAGAGGAGAGGCAGAGTTACACGTACATTAGGAACTTAAGCTGGGGAAATAACAGTTGCAAACCTACTACTTTGCTGGTTTATAAAATCAAACCTACAAAACCCCTTAACATGTTTAACTTGTGCATGCTTATCTTCAAACATATTGGTCCTAACATATAGGACTTAAGATACAAACTTGTCTTCCTTTCCCCAGTAGGTCAGAATTACTGATCAGCTCATCGCTGGTGCCTACAAAAAGCACTGCTATTTCCCTCTTCAAACCAAAGCAGAGGCAGGCCGATACCCTGGAGAAGTCCATCAATCCCACTATCCACTCAGTATCATAGCGATATATTTGTCTTTCCCTATTTAGCTTTTGCGAATACATTAACGTGCAACAGTGCAGGTGCTCTGGGGACAAATGTAGTTGCAGATAGGCAGACACACTTCCACAATACACCTTTAGCAGTTTTTCACATGTCATTTAGGACCCCATTTCCCAGTGATTTTCATTCAAACTTTTAAGAAAAAGGATTTCAAAAGCAGCTATTCATTCTTGATGCCTCCATTTCTGAATGCCCAGCTTAAGCTATTTTAAAAGCATGTCAATTTTGAAAAAATGCCAGAATCCCACAACTGCTGACAACCAGGCTCCTTTTAGACATCTTGACTTGTGTAACAGAAAACAGAAGCAACCCAAATCATTATTTATTTATGAAAATCTTGGCTTTGGCCTCTTAAAAGCCTACATCACTTTTGAGAACCGGACTCAGATGATGCTGAAAATGTGGCCCATAAAAAACCTGTTCATTGCAATGAACAAGTGCTTTTCACCACACACAAACCACACTCACTGGGTAGCAGCGATGGTCCTACAGTACCATCAGATGGTATTGCAGAGTTGGATTTGAGATGTGATGAAGAAATGAAGACCCCACACAGACAAAAAGCAATGCTAATATTGGAGCTCTTGAGCATCCTGTCACTTCTACCCATTCTCTTCTTTGGACTCAGGACTCCTCAAGGCCATTGAAAGCAGCAGGCAGCTGTGACCCAATCATGAAAGATTTGTTTTGGTCATGGAAAAGGATCAGTGCAAGAGATAGCACCAGGCCATGGGAGACATTAGCAGAATGCCACTGCAGAAAAGCACTTCCATCTGGGAACAATGGAACAAAGTAGAGCAGCTGCTGGATTTGCAAAGAGGTGGTCTCTAACTGTAGCAGCAAGTGCAATCTGCCAGGGCTGAGCTGCAAGACAGAGTTGTTGCTCTGCTGAGCGTGGCAGCAAAGGGCAGCATTAGCTGGTGTGAAGAGTCTTCTGAGCTCAGGGTGGGAAGAGGAAAGGAGACAGACAAAAAGGTGGCCTCTGGCAGGTGTAGATCCCCTTGGAGTGAAATGGTTACTGAAGTCCACAGTGCTATAGCTCTCTAACTCTTCCAACCCAGCTCTATGGTCACGCATGCAGCCGTTTATTTGAATGGCTCATGAGGAGGTACTTCCAAGATGAGAATTGCAGCCACATACAGCTCACTGACACCATGCAGGAATGCAGTCACAGTCCAGCCTATCTGGGCATATTCTTGGTGCCTCACAGCTATGGAGTGTGTGCACTTCCATGCACACATGCTTCTCAGAGAAACAAACAGCACTGAGCTCTGCTTGAAGAGCCCCAGGTTTACGTGAAACTTTTAGGCAGGAAGAAGGCATATTGTGGTAGCATATTTAAGTCTATCTAGAGAAAACAAAGCAGAAATCACACTTTGTTTCCCATTTCTCCTAATTTCTGCTTACACATCTCTAGAAACATCAGGACTAAGCTGTTAGGACTTAGGAGAAGAGCTATTTTGCCAACTCATCCTGGCTGGCAAAGCATCTGCATTCTGCAAGCTTCATGGTGAAGCAAATTCAGTTGAGTCCTTTATCAAAGGACACTCTTGAGTATAAACTAGTGAAAGTAGTCCTGTGGGTTCCTGCATGGATAACCTTGTCCTAGCAATTTGCTGTTAGCAATGCTGAGTCAGTCTGGGGGAAAGGAGCAAGCTTTCCATATGGCAGTGTGGGGACGCTACCTCCAGCTAACAGCAATGACTGTTAAAACTGATGTATATGTATCGGTGTGCTTATTTCAGTCCAGCAAGTTTACTCCAGGTAGCAGGTTTACTACTTAAGGAGGCATTTCTACTTAAAAGCCCCAATGTCTGACCCAACACTAGGTGATAGACAATTTGTGGTCATCTTCCACCGCTCTGCGTGAGAGAGGAACTGGCAAGTGCCAAACATCAGCCCCAACACTTGTGGCTCTTCCTCACCATGCAGTCTGACTGCTCGGCAGGCACGCAGTGGTTTCACAATCCCTGCTACAGGAGGATGAGCTAAACATCCGATACCAGTGAAGGGAAGCCACCAGAGCCAGCATGGAGGGACTGACTAGAAACGAGGCAGACGGGAGCGTGGCAGGAGCACCCTGGAGATGGACAAGTATCCGAGGCTGAGCTTCAAGGACACAAATTTCTCTCCCACGTATGCCTTCCTTCTGACCTCACATCAACAGTGTGGAGCATCATTCTGAAAGAAAGAAGTGAAAGGCAGGTCCTCCCCACAGGGCCAGAGAGGAAACCAGACGCGAGGGGTGGGGTGGAAGGCACGCGAACTGCACTCCCACCGCCTGGTACTTCCCATTACCAACACCAGCCCTGATGGACCTAGAAAAAGACTCCCACTCGAGCAGTAAGATTCACCTACACTGCTGCCTCTTCCTCCCACATCCTTCAAAAATGTAAAATGCAGCAATAAAATTCAGGCAACTATCTAGGTTTTAAGAGCAGAAAGCAATGAGGGCACTCAGCCTTAAGAGCTAAACAGGACAACTCTGCACCCTGCAGACTTATTACATCCAAAGATGACTATACCTTACCATTTGCTAAAAGCATCCTGGAGTTTTATTCTGACAGGTTTTCAGTCCCTGGCTTGACATCTCATATGAAAGAGCATCCTGCTGCATGAAGCACCCTCATACCCTGAACATTACCTCCATATTGATTCAAAGCAAAAAAAATTCCAGAACTGACCAGATTATTGTCGTTCCTGTTCTGGTCACTCTCTAGCTGTTCCTTAACAACCTCCCAGGCAACATGCCTTGGTCCCACTGAGCTCTCACGGTTTGCCAGGTTGCTGACAGAGATGGGTTGAGTGATGCTCAAACCGAGAATATGTGCTTCAGTAGCAAGGTTTCACAGTGCTGGGGACAGCTGAAGATGATATGAATCTCAATGAGTGAACTTAAAAAGCAGACTGCTCTTATGAACAGTTCGGGAGTGTGAAGACCACTCTGCTGTAACTTAGTTGCTGACTGTAAGCGGGCACACAGGTCCCTCTCAGCTACCCTCCAATGCATTTGTTTTGGTGGTAGTGGTATTTTCAGATTGTTTCCCCGTTAGCTTTTTTCTGTTCCTCTTTCTCCCTCTCTCATTTTCTGTTATGCATTTGCTGCCACTCATTTTTGCTATCTGTGCCTTGGCAATGTTTTCAGCAAGTTCCCTTTTCCTTGTATGTTCCAGCCCCAACTCCCTAGCCTAAATTAAATTTACCCTAACTACTTTGTGAGATCATAAAAAAAAAAAAAAAAAGAAAATGAATTAATCTCTCTTTAACAGCTGAAGCTAAACTTCTGGATTTGCTGTTATTTCCCCCCCGCTTTTTCATCTGTTAAAAGGCCAAGAGCAAGGCAAAACATAAGGGACAGCGGCTTGCAGATGGGCACAGCCCCCACCTCTCTCTGCAGACTTCTCCATGGTGGAGTACCCTGGCTAATTCAGACAAAGCTATCAGTGCTCCCTCACCATTCCCTGCAATATTGCCTGGTTTTCAATCAGAAGCTTCTTTGGAGCAGAACGGATGAACATTTTGTGATGTGGACAAGTACTCAAAACAGCAAAGGGAAACTTGGGCTTAGAACCAATCCTCTTACTCTAAGCTTACTCTTACGTATGCCACCACCTCCACATCATTGTGGTTCCTGCACTTGCACAAGAACCTCCAATAGGTAAAGTTAGTGCTTTTCTGGCTAGCCAGCAAACATGAGCAGCAAACAGATGTTTTACTTTTGTCTTTGAGGCGTTTCCTTCCAAAAAAGTTATTTCTGCCAGTTCTACAGTAAAAAGTATTGCTTTCAGAAGTTTCTAACTAGATGTGGGTGATTGTAGAATTCAGTGGTGGCAAGAAGGCTAAAATCACCAAGAAACTCAGAGAATAAAAAGAGCAAGCTGTATTGGATATTGCAGGCTTGAAAAAAAACAAGGAACAGGTAAAACACAACGAAAGGAGCATCAAGATGGATGAGCCGAGGGAACCCAAGAAGCAGGACCGGAAAAAACATCCTGTGAGCATGCACACTGGCAGGGCATAATGTGGTGAAGTGCATCCACTCACCTTGGGCTGTCAGGGATGGAGCTGATACTGTAACTGCATTACCCATTTGGTGAATACAGCAAGCTCCTCCTTCAAGGGCAATAATGGCTGGAGTGAAAAACGACCAACCCAGTCTGATCACTTTGATTCTTCAAAAACAGTACCCCCTCCACTGGAGAATAGTGAGTCTCACCAGCCTTTTGCTGGGCAAGCCACCTATTGCTGCTCCTTGCACACCAAATGCAAAGGGCCTGATTCCTCTGCTGCTCAAGTCAATGGCTGGACCACAGAGCTCTCACTGAAAAATTAAACTGTAGGTTAAGTCTACAGCTGCCCCCACATTTCTGCTCCAAGCAAATCATTTGTCAGGCATGATCTATATTCAACAAGCCCCTTCCTAGCAAACTTGAATAAACCTAGCTACCCAACATTTAACACAGCCAGGCTGGAACAACTTTTGTCATCAGAGCCCATGTCCCTGGGAATCTTCCCAGAGGAGCAGCAACCTCTTGCTTCCCCATCAGTGCCACATCTACCCCTGTCTTGCCTGAAATCTTCTGCATTTCTGCCTGCTGCTCCCTTACAGCCATCCTCCTTGCTCAGCAGTA